CGCGATGAGGTCAGCCTACTCCGGCCAACTGAAGACCATTCAAGACATGGCTCCTCGGTCTATATTAGGCGATCGATAATCATGGCTAGTAATCTTGCCGACGTGGTTAGTTGTGTCTAGCGAGAGAAACGGCATTGCGAAGAGGATTAAGTCGGGATGGCTTGCTTTCCCCAGAATAAAATGCGGAGCACAATCCGCGCCAGATTATTAAGCGTTGCTCAGACCGCCTGGCGACATTGATCTATCTAGAGGTCGTCATCAAACACTACACCTTTGTATATTGAGTTAAAAAAAAAATTACTAGTACCTAGCTAGATTATGCGCTCCATTACTTGCAAAAACAGACTATCTACTCAGGGCGAAAGGAGACAATCTTCCCCCATGTATCAGCCGTACCCCAAATACCATGTCGCAAGCACGACAGCTGCACAATCTGACTATGGTCGACGAAAAGGTTGACATCAATACCGAACTCCCGGATATACCAATTGTAAACCTTCGGATCTGCAGCCTCAAACATAACACGCTCTGGCGGCAGTTCCTTCATGATCTTGGACACCACGTCAGTGCGCCAGGACTCCACATTCTCCGTGATGCCCTCGGACTCGATCATCAAGCGCTCAACGCCAGCGTTGAGGAATTTATGGCCCAGGTTGACCAGCTTTCCAGGGTCTGAAGTGCCAATCGCCTCCAAACCAGAGGCTGGGGTGTCACCGCCTGCACCGAATTGAATGCCCAGCTCGGGCTTCGCTTTTAACTTGTATGAGTGAACTTTGTCGACGAGGCGAAGCCAGTCATCCTCGGGGAATGATAAGAAGCCGGATGAAAGCTCAATTACATCAAAACTGTAGTACAGGTTATTAGCAGGGCGAAGATGGTTCATGACTGGGTTAAATGGGGGCATACCCTAGGTCCTTGCACTTCTGGAGGTATTTGTCAAAGACGGCATTTGTGTCAGGATGAGTGAGGAGGTGCTCAGCCCATCCACCCTACCCATCGAAATTAGATGATACTCACTCTCAAATCTGATGTACAAGGCAAACTCACCGTCGAGACATAAACGCCATGCTCATGAGCCAGGTCAATCAGTTCCCTCAAGGGCTTCTCCTGGAACAGCGAAAAAGAGCCTACATCCGAGGTCAGGTTCTTGTTCGACATAATTCGACGCTGTGCTTACCTCCTGCAAACTTGAGACCATCCACATGGGTCCCCATTCTGTAAGCTGTACGTTAGCAAAACGGATGTGTCGTCGTTTCTCCTCATTCAGGACATACGTTTCAAGCACATCGGCCAAGTATCTCTTGCCCATAACCTGTAGTATATCAAACAAAGTCAGTCCAACCGCAATGTACAATACAATTGCAACTGCAATTTCAAAAAGATAAATATGCATACCGTGTAGTACGGCCCTCTGATCTCAGTGACACCCTTGCTCCTCGGCTTCGGCGGTCTAGGGTTGGACCGTGCGAACCCGAATCCATTATTCTTATCTTGGAGCAGGGTTACATTCTTCTGTGCAGGCGCTGTCGTAGATAGATATCTGTAAGATCCAATCGAGCCTGCAACTTTCGGGACTTGTTCCGAGACAGATCTAAGAATGGCTTTCGAGGAAACCGGGGAGAGGCGTGGCATATTCGACAACTTTGTGACTAATATGGATATACTTCTAGTATAGCGGATGAGCGGAGATGGCGAAAGACAGAACAAATAAGCTCAATTACTAGTAGAAAATAGATATAGACTCAGAGAATCAGTCCATTGACCTTGGGAATATATAGGGAGCCCATGTCTAATTCGGATGTCAAGTATGTTTTGTGGTGTGAGTGTTCCCTGACGTAAAGTGTATGTCCCCCCCCCCCCCGGTGGAGAAGCAAAGAGCGAATTATGGATGGATCGCCAACAGGGATCCCGCCATGAATCAGGGGTATCGATCGGTGAGTAACCTACTAATCCACTACTAACTGAGTACTTATCCTTTATTTGCCCCTTCTTTGATTCACTTTCGAGGGAGGATGGGGGTTGTCATATTCACGTGATCGGTATCAGCTTCTATTCATGTTGAACTCGGAAGAATGTTTAATACCGGTATAGCTTCTCTGGCAACTCCAAGGATAGTACTATAAAGCTGGCTATTATTCACCTGTCCACATGGATTTCCTGGAGCCTGATCATAATATAGTACCAGGCCTTTCAGTTCATAAGCCAGTGTCCAATATAAAGGGGGCTAGTTTACTACATTTGTACAATTTTCGACAAACTACTGCCAATGCTTAATGATCGTCTCCGCCGCTTTCTCAGCGATCCCGTATACAGCTGTCTGTATATGACCGGATATCAAAACTGGCATGACACTGGCATCGACCACGCGGAGATTCTCCGTGCCATACACGGTCAGATTCGCATCGACCACCCCATGTAGTTCCCGTGGCAACATCGCACATGTACCGACAGGGTGAAAGAGGGTCCTAGTGTTGTTGATCGCATACTCCCTCCACTGACTATCATTATCGGGTCCATCACCAACCACAGAAAGGCCTGGGTCGTATTCTTCGATCCAAACTTGCCGGAGAGGAGCTGTTGACGCCAATTTACGCAAGTACTTTGCGGCAGATACGAGAGCCTGGATATCATATTCATGGGCGAGGTAGTTCGGTTGTATCTCGGGAGCTGTCGAGATCGATGCCGACGTCACATGTATCGACCCCGTGCTGAAGGGGTGTAGCATGACTGCCAGCAACGAGAAGAAGTTTGAGCCGTAGAGGGGAGAGGTCTCTGATGGATACCCTTTTGCTCCGGCATACCCATCTGCCGAGAGAATCTCAATCTGTGGAACATTATCTTCTTCATGCAGTATTTGATGAAGCTGGGTATCCGCTTTAATGCGCTCGAAGGGGGACAGTGAAAGAGGTTCATCGGCGGCTTTGCGTGCTAAAGATTCCATGCGCGAAGGCTCATCAGCCACGCCAGTCCAGTTAAGAAAAGCGTAGGTACCGCCACTACAGTCGTACAAGGATTGTTGACCTGTGTTATAAGCTTCTAGTTGCTGCTTTGCAAAAGTGGCATTGGTATTGAGCATATCGGATGAGGTATAGTTGGAGCGAAGTCGATAGGAGGCCCCAATTGTCAGATGATCCTGCAGATTCTCTCCGACCCCAGGAAGGTCAACTAACTGTTGGATATTGGCAGCATGCAGCACGTCTTTCTGACCGATTCCGGAGAGCTCCAATAGACCGGGGCTTTGCATGGCACCAGCAGCAAGGATGACTTCCTTCGTTGCCCAGACAGTTGTGTTATCTTCCAGAGTAACACCTGTTGCTACCAAATCTCCTCCATCTATACTCGTCAAATCAATCTTGCGCACCCTCGTCTCTACCCGTATTTGAAGATTGGGCCCTGCAAGCGAGGGGTATCCTGGGTGATGGGCACTATACGACCTCTTCCGATCACTATACCGGACGTTTGTCGGCTGGAACCCGAAACCAAGAGGATTTCCTCCCAGTGAATTCCGATTCTCTGACACATTCAGGCTTTCCAACGCTTCCGTAAAGAAGTCCTGGTACTCCGGCACCAAGTCACAGACCATGGTCTGGATGGGACCACCAAAACCTACACCTTGGTCACCATACTTGTCTGACAAAGTGTAATTCTCAGCCTTGAGCATAGAGCGCATCATCTCCGATGAGTTCCACCCATCATTTCCTAGCTTGCCCCATATGTCGTACTCGACCTGGCTGGCACGGTCCCACGCCATCAAATTAAGCGCGGAACTTCCGCCCAGGACCTTTCCTCGGGGTTGACTCATAGTACGATTACCTACATGCGCTTGTACGGCAGTGGTAAAATTCCAGTCGTACGATGATCCGATAGCTGAGCCACCCATACCCGGGATATTGATACTCGTCTCGTTCTCAGCATCAGGTCCAGCTTCCAGCACCAGGATAGAGCTCTCCGGTAGTCCACGGCTTAGTCGCGATGCCAGGGCCAGACCGGCCGTGCCGCCTCCCACAATAACCTACTGAGAGTGTTAGCAAACGATGGTCAAACGTGGGCGCGCAAACAGATCCGCAGTGACCATACAAAGTCATATTCAGCCTGGGCCGCTTGACAAGTCGCTACAGCAATCGCTGTCAGAAGCAGGCCGAGTAACAACATCCTCAATCAAGATCGCTTTAGATTCTTTGTGATTGAGTCCTGTCGATGCTCTTGATCATAAAACACTTGCTGAATTACAGCCTGGGGAAACGGCTCCCTGATATGCGATATCACATAGTTCCTTCTATCTTCGGAATCTATCCCTTGTGGTGGTATTTCCGAATGGGCTGCGGCCCCTTGCATCATGAGCATAGCATACAACATACCAAGAAGACAGTTTTAATTGTTGATAATGTAGTGTTTATTGAGAAAAGTAATAAGTCTTTTAATCTTTAAGTTTTTACAAGGCTATAACTATCTTAGTTACTATTTATGGATCCAGTGAAGGAGAAAGTCCTTGTATATCGGTTTCGTTCCCAAGAATTTAATGCTAGTCATAGCAACAGGTTAGGTTCCAACCCCTCTCGCCTAGACGTGTAGTGCATTCATTGCATTGGTCTGCTTCATTCCAATTTGAAGGTTACCTAATAAGTATCGTGCACCATCACTCCAAGTGAACAGCATAAAGTAATACGTAGAAAATACACTTACCCGCGGTGTATTTGGCTTGCGGATACAACGCATGTGCCAATGTTCTCTGCGTGGAACCACTCATTGCGTCAAGTTCGTTGAGGCATCCAATGCCGGCAAGCTGCATGGCAAGCCAGAATATGCATTTTGAAGGATACGTTATAATGAATCGATAAGATATAGTATATAGAAGACATGCAGGATGATCACATAGCAGATTTGCTTATGTCAATTACCATTGCATGGTGTCAGAGGGATAGAGATAATAAAACCCTAATGTCTTTTCAATTTCCCTTACAACCATCCCAAAGTGCCACAGAGTATCCAAAATGCCTTCTAAATCCAAATCCAAATCTCCCCACATTCTCCTACACAGACGCCATCCAAGGCAAAGAACTCTACAATTACTTCGGTAATCGGGTCCTCGAGTCAAGGGCATCGGCTGGTCGGGTAGTCGCAGTTAAAGTCAAGCCAACCGAAGGTTTCGCACGATCCGAGGCCGACATGATGCATTATGCATCGCAGAAACCTGGAATCTTAGCACCACAGGTTCTACGATGTTGATCCCGGAATCACCGTAACCGTGTCAAATCTCATCGAGGGCGAGTCACTCGACAATGTCTGGCATACCATGACTAAGGCCGAACGAAAATCCATAAAAGAACAGCTCAAGGAGCAACTACGTCTCTTCCGGCAGTGCACACAACCGTACATCGGTCGTATAAACCGACAGGAGACGCGAAACTTCTATGACCGCATCCACTTTCATTTCATGGGGCCTTTGCGTCCGAAGAGGAGTTTGGTAGTTGGTGTCTTAAGAGGGTGAAATCACCCACTGCGAAGAAGATATGGGCACGGCTTCTGCCTGGGATGCGTGGAACTGGAGAACAGACGTTCGTGCTGACGCATGGAGATTTGGCTGCGCGGAATATTATGGTGAAAGATGGCAAGATCGCTGGAATTGTAGATTGGGAGTATAGTGGGCTTTTCCCCGAGTACATGGAGTATGCAATGGCGACTGTGATTCATGATTGTAAGGAGGATTGGTGGAAGCCGCATCTGAAGGAGATTCTGGAGCCTTGTGGGTATAAGAGGGCAAAGTTTACAGCTGCAATCAAGTGGAGAGGGTGGTGATGTCAGTATAACCAGGCTCTTTTCTCTTGTTTTCTGCATATATCTTCTCACCTCTATGACCGGATCCCCTCCATGTGCCTCTTCTTATCCCCATCCCAGCATGTATTTCAAATGGTACTTAAAGGCTGTCCAATAATAATAATAATCAAAAGCAGTATTTATTGGCTCACTAGAGTTATCAACGAGGATCAGACGATCACAGTACAACCAAGCGGAACAAGTAACATTCTCGAAGTGATCAAGCACAGACACAAAAAA